GCGGTCTCAAAGAAAAAAAAACCCGCCGGCGCACGGGTGGCTCAAGTCGCTGTGAATCCAAGCACTTTGGGGAGCCCCCGAGATTGGGCCGGATCACCCGAGTCAGCGAGGATCGAGACCAATCCTGCTAACTGCGGTGAACCGGACCGCCCCTCCTTACTAAGAGAATACAAAAAAATAGCCGGGCGAGGGGGTGGCGCGCCGCCTGCTAGTCCCAGCTTACTCAGGAGGCTGAGCTGATTCGAATTGGCGTGAACCCGGTTAGGCGGAGCTTGCAGTGAGCTGAGATCCGCGCGACTGCCACTCCAGCCTGGCTAACATGAGCCGAGGACTCGCGTCTCGCGCGCAGAAAGAAAGGAGAAAAAAAAAAAAGAAGAGATAAAAAAGAGAAAAAAAAAAAGAAGCGCCTAAGCAGTTGTATAAAATGTTCTCGCAGGAGAGGCGCTTGTCTCCAGAGAAGCTTGGGATGGGCCTTCCGCGCGAGCGCTAGACTCGCGCGCGAAGCTGTGAGCAGTTGTCGTTTGGCGCCGGTGGCATTCGCTGTGTTGGAGGCGCTTGCGCAGCGCCGGTGAGAAGACAGTGGCCAAAGGGCTTCGCGCGGAGCGTGATGTGCCCAGCGACGCGAGACGGGTCTGTCTTTTGCTCGCCACTGGAGCGTCGGCTGTGGAGTGCGCCTTGGGACTCTGATGGCCGCAGACTTTGGCAGTGGGTACGAGCCTGCTTGCAGTTGCTCTTATTCGCAAAGGCCACACATTTTTTTACCCCGTCCCTGTCGGCTGCAGGAACTGGGCGTCTTCTTGTTGGGAGTGCAGTGCCGCGCTGTTCCTTGGGTCACAACATCCTGGAGGCCTGTGTTAAACCTGCCAGGTAGGTGCCCACCCCCCCACCGCCCCCTGCCCGCCCACCCACCGCACCCGCGCCCGCAGACGCGCGCCGCCCCACGCGCCCCAGCGCGCGCCCCCCACCGAATCCTCTGGGACAGCTCCAGCCCCACTCTTGACTCCCAGGTGGGACTGAAAGGCCCATTCTGAGGAAATGGGTCAGAGAAGCACCTAGTTAAAGACCTTGGCTCACCAGTCTGAGCGGGGGAGAGAGAGCGCTGCACTGAGTCTCCTGACTCCAGCTCTGCCATTCCCTTTCGCTGAATCACTCCCCACAGGCACTTAGGCTCTCGGAGCCTCAGTTTTTTTATTTGCAAAGAGGGCTGAGAAAAGGAGTGTCTTTCTTCTGCTCCCAAACTTCTAGTAGCTTCCATGGATTTAAAATAAAATTCAAATGCTTTGCAATGGCCTGCAGCATCTCCAGTGCCATCTCCCATACCCCTGCACACACACACACATTCACTCACACCCCCACAGACTCACATTCTCTCACACATACACTCACACTCACACACACACACTCACTAAGTTCCAGCCACTCAGAGACTCCCTCCCTGATCACCCACCTCTCACCACTATTTTGGATCCCAGCCCCTGTTTGTGTCCTTCATGACCCTTCTTGACACGACACATATTAATGGTATATGCATTTATCTGTTTTCTTGTTGTCCAGGAAGGCAGGGCCATGTCTGTTCTGTTCAGTCCCTCTCCCCATGCCTGGGACCCAGGTGCTCCAAAAACGAATACAATGAGTGAGGGATGAGGGGAGCTAGATCAGATGGGCACCGTCTGGCACGCAGTAAATACATCATGAAGAAAGGGAGGGACTTCTTTTGCTTCCCCAGCCCCCAAGCTCTCTCTTGGCACTGAGCCATAGCCCTCTGCCTGGGATGCACCTCCCCCATCCTTTCTGCTGGCAAACCTTGTCCATGGCTCAGTTTTCAGTTCAGTCACTATCTCCTTCCTCCCCAGATCCCTCCAGGACCTGGTGTGAAGTCCCTGTGTGCCTCCCCATCATTCCTGGGCTGCAGTCACCCCTTTTCCTGTCTGTCTCTCTCACTACTCAAGGGAGGGAATAGTGGTTTCTCTGTCGTAGTCAGAGTCCTGCACAGTGCCTGGCACATAGTAGGCCAGAAAGAGAAGGTCAAAGTCTCAGGGGCTCAATTCTTCTGGTCTCATGTGGAATGCAGGGCAGAGGCAGAGCTGGTGTGGGGGTTGCGGGTGCAGCCTCCCAGCCCCCAGCTGCACCCATGGGCCCATCCATGCTGCCCCTAGGAGGTGAGAGAGAGGACTGATGCTCAGCATTGTCACATAGGTCACTCAGGATGCAAGAAGAAGGCCTGAAGGGCTCGCTGGTGGAGGTGACCCCCAAGAAGCAGCCCAAGAAATTCGGCTGTTGCTCCTGACCGCTTGTCCTGTCCTGGGTGGGATGGACACCCGCATGGTTTCCTGTCCCTCAGCTCCTGTTCTTCGTTCCTGGACAGCAACGAAACAGAGGACCAGCCTGGAGGTTCAGGAAAACCCTTCTCAAATCAGGACTCAGATCCCAAAGCAGGGCTGCATCACCTCTGCCTTTCAAACTCCAAAGGAGGGCTTTGTTGAGTGAACAAGACTTGGGGGGCAGGAGTATGGCAAAACTCTCCAAAGAAAGAAAAAGTCTGGAAAAACAACTTAAGGAAAATACACCAAAATATTGGCCACACATCTGTGGGTGATAAAATTATAGCGAGAATGTGTGTGGGGGGGTGTTACTTTCGATTTTACACATATTTGTATTTTCAGATTTTCAACAATAAGGATATTCATTACGTAATCAGAAAAAAAAGAGATGAGGAGGAGAGAAACTTTCCAAGGAGCTCCCTTGGGTGCTGCTGGCTCCTAATTGGTGTAACCTGTTAATCACCGCTCAGTGTTAGAGCGGTCCCTCTGTGCTCTGCCTGGCAGGGCGCTGTTGGCCTGGTCTCCCTCGCTATTTCTATTTGCAAGCATGGGCTTTCTTCGGTTCCTGGGAAGAGTGATGATCCGAAGGCCTCTGATACGCCCTGATGCCCTCCTGTCTTGCAGAGCCCCGACCTCACTCCCTTTCCGCATGATACGAAACACACCTCACAGGGGTCACATTCGAGGGTCTCATCCCCTGCTCCGGTGCCACGGTGTCCCCAAGCACAGGGCTTCGGCCTGAGTTGTCAGTCTCTGGATGTATTTGAAGGGCAGCTAGGGTGTGGCTGGGGGTCCAAACAGCTGGGGAGCCTAGACTCAGAATCATTCACACACTCTTCTTTGGAGCTTTTGCAGAAGTTTCCGGAATTCCATAAAATTCACCTCCTGAATGGCGGCTGCACCTGATCGGCCAGGGCTGGGGTTTCCGGTGCCCTCGGAGAGCTTGCTTTAGAGTCTTAGAGAGACTGCCATGGTCTGTGTTTGTGTGTCTGTCACATCTTACCATCATCACAAATTGAATAGACAACATGTGCCAGGCACTGAGTTTGTTTGATTGTTTTTTGAGACAGGGTCTCTCTCTGTTGCCCAGGCCGGAGTGCATTGGCATGATCGCCACCCTCTGCAGCCTCAACTGTCTGGGCTCAAGCGATTCCCCTACCTCAGCCTCCCAAGTAGCTGGGACCACAGGCACGTGCCACCACACCTTGCTAATTTTTTAGTTATTTGCAAAGACAAGGTCTTGTTATGTTGCTTAGGCTGGTGTCAAACTCCTGGGCTCAAGTGATCCTCCCAATGTGCTGGGATGACAGGCGTGAGCCACCGCCCCTAGCCTGAGTTTGGTATTTTGTAATCCTTCAGGTACTGGGGAATTTCCTGGCTGAATCAATGGAAACCCCATAGAGGGACAAGCAAAGACAGTTCAAGGAACAGAGTTAGAGAGAGAATGAAGGAGAAAGAGGGAGCAACAGAGGCCTGTTGAATCACACAGTCTTAGACCCTGGCCCCAACCCCTCTTCTCAGTTCTGAAAGGAACGTCTCAGCAGCAGTGAGCCTTCCATCACTAGAGGCACACAAGCAGAAGCCAGGTAATACTTGGCAAAAGGTGAGGTAGAGAAGATCCCAGCATCTGAATCCACCAAAGTTGGATTAGATTCCCTTAACGGACCCCATTCAACCTCCAGACTCCATGTGGATGATTCCCATGGTCCAGCTGATTCTTTTTTTCTTTTTTTTTTTGTTTTTGAGACGGAGTCTCACACTGTCGCCAGGCTGGAGTGCAGTGGTGCAATCTTGGCTCACTGCAACCTCTGCCTCCTGGGTTCACGCCCTTCTCCTGCCTCAGCCTCCCAAGTAGCTGGGACTACAGGCGCCCGCCACCATGCCCGGCTAATTTTTTGTGTTTTTTTTTTTTAAATTTTTTGTGTTTTTAGTAGAGACGGGGTTTCACCATGTTGGCCAGGATGGTCTCGATCTCCTGACCTCATGATCTGCACACCTCAGCCTCCCAAAGTGCTGGGATTACAGTCGTGAGTCACCATGCCCGGCCCTCTAGCTGATTCTTTTACTGGGTGCTTCACTGATCCTTTTTTACCCCAATGTCTTCTCCCATCTCAGGTCCCCTCCCACAGCCCACAAGCCTACCCCTGAACTGAACAGTTTCTAGACTGTGGTGTGCTTAGAGAGAGAGAGGCGGGTGTGGGCTGGAGTGAGTGATGCTGGCCCTGGGTGAGGACGGGAGACAGGTCCTGTAGTTGCTAATGGCTCTTTCTCTGGGGCCCAGGGACCTGGCAGGCACCAACATCTCTGTCCTGTGGGCCAGGGAATTAATGAGGCAGATAGGCAGGGTGTGATTCCTGGGAGAGGCAGTAGAGCAGACATAGCTCCTGTCGTTTGGGGGCCTGGTACAGGAGTGGCCCCCAGGCCTCCCCGTTTCATCTCAGCTCTGCTCTGGCCTCAAGCAACTCAGATTCCCAGGAGGTGGAGTTCTGGGAGAAACTCCACACTGCCCAGAACCCTGTTTTGGCTTTCTTGGGCCGGATCCACCTGCTGGGCAAGGGCACAACTGTGCAAGGACCACCAGCCTTTCCTACTGTCAAAGGGCTCACAAGCCAGAGAACAGGACCCAGAAACCTCAGAGTAGCATACAGCAGGCAACCACAGCAGCAGGAGAAACTTGAGGTAGACTTCAGAGTGAACTTCCAGGCAAGTGGTGAGTTCTTGGGGCATGTCAGCCAAGGGGGCTCTGGTTTAGGCTTAGCCAGAGTCTGATTAAGAAAAGGAGGGTGGGACTGGGCTAAGGGGACTCAGGCCGCTGAGTGAGAAGGGAGGGCAGGGGGAGAGAAGGAAGGCTGGGCAGGAGCTCTAAGAGAAGAGGGCTTTTTGGAACTGAGGGGGAGCAGGGGCAGAATGACATCCCTCCTTTACCCAGTGCCTACCGCATGCCAGGCACTGTTCTGAGCACTTAGCTCTTGTTACTTCATTTAGCCCTGACACCATCAGGCGTGTTCCCCAATCTTACAGAAGAGGAGAGTACTGCATAGGGAGGCTGAGTAACTTCTCCATAGTCACGTAGCAAGTAAGTGCTGGAAACGGTGTTAAACCCAAACGCCGGTACCCACAGACTTAGCCCTGAAGTTATGCAACTGCTTACAGGAAAATGCGGATGCTTCCGGGAAGCAGGCGCCAGGTCCCTGAAGCCTCGCATTGCTCCCTGCCAATTCCTCTCCAGTAATAGTCCGTGTCATTGGTGGGTGTGGACCAGGAAAAAGTGACAAAAAGGCAGTGATAAATGCCAGGAAAGTGGCTGGAGGACAGCCTTCATCCAGGACAGGTCCTTCATTGCCCCTCCTCCTGCAGTCCCGGGAGCCGGTGGGGCCTGGGAGGGTGATCGACATCAGAATTCACAGAAGCCCCCTCTCCAGTCTCTCCTCAGCTGCCCTGAGGCACGTTGCTGCCCTGGGGCCCCAGAGACCAAGCTAAGTCCCCCAGGCTGGGGCTCTGCAGGAGGGACTCAGAGACTCCTTCAAACCTGGCTTTGAGCCTGCAGGAGAAGGGTATCTCCAGTCCCCACCCCAGTGTGGGAGAAAAGGGGAGGGCAACTCCAATGAGGACTCCTCTGCTGTGTCTTGTTTGCTGCTGGATTCCCGGAACCTGGTCCAGAGCAAATGCTCAGGAAATATGTACTGAGTTAGCAGGCAAGCCTCTCTCCAGCTAAAGCTCCCGGGCCCTGGCCTGGCCTGCAGGGCGGCCAGTGGTGACGTCAGCCACTGGGCTGACTCTAGTATGTCTACACTCCATCTTCTAGCCAGAGTCCTCCCAGTCGGGGGCTCCCCCTGCCCTTGACATGTGGGACACAGTGGGGGTGAGGAGAAAGGTCTGACCGCTGGGCGCAGACTCCCCCATCCTGCCAGGGGCCTGCACAGCATAACCTAGAGGGCAGTGATTCCCAAGCTGGTCTGTCCTTCGAATTATTTGGGGTCTTTCAAAAATGCCAAAGCCCAGACCAACTATGTCATGTCTCTGGGGGTGGGACCCAGGTTTCTGTATTTGTGAAATTCCCCAGGTGGTCCCAATGTGCAGAGATGCTTGGGAACCACTGGGAGGGGCTTCACACCTTCTCAAAGCCCCTTCAGACCCACTTTCCCATTTGAACCTCAGATTAAACCTGCTTGTTTCACAGGGCAGGGTTTTGTCAAAAAATAGATACGTGTGTGTATGTATGTATGCACATATGTATTTATCAGATTATGAAAGCAATGTGTACTCCTTGCAGAAATTTTAGAAGTAGATTTTAAAGAAGAAAATGAAAATTATCCTAGTCTTATCACTTATGACAGTTACTATCGACATCTGTTTTATTTCTTTTATTTCCTTGCTTTCTTACAGCTGAGGAAACTGAGGTAGATAAACATTAAGTAACTCTCCCAGGGGCCAGGGAGAGAGGCTTAGGCCTGTAATCCCAGCACTTTAGGAGGCTGAGGCATGAGAATCACTTGAACCCAGGAGGTGGAGTTTGCAGTGAGTCAAGATCTCGCTCCAGCCTGGGTGATAGAGTGAGACTCTGTTTCTAAATAAATAATTAAATAACTCCCAGGGTACTGGAGCTAACAAGTAGCAGAGGCAGGATTTGAACCCAGGGCACTGATGGAGTCCATCCCATGGGGTTGTCATGAGGTCTGCAGGGGCTAATGTGTGCCAAGGACAGGCATGTATCTGGGCCCACTACATGTAGGGGTCTGTGAGAAAACGAGGCTCAGCAGGAACGGGGAAGGCGGCCTCTGGGGCTGACTGGTTTCTACTTTGTCCTTGTGTGTCTGAAACAGGAGAATGGAGCCCAATGCCACGTTCGACACGCAGCTCACGGCCACACCTGAGTGACTGCTCCGACTCATCTTTGCGGGGGTCTGTGGCCTTGTCCTGCTGGTGGGGCTGTAGACTAATGGGCTCATGCTGCTGGTGGTGGGCCGGGACCAGGGCTCCCCCCACCAGCTCCACGCCCTGACCCGAAACCTCATGATGAACATCACGTTATCTCACCTGCTCTTCGTGGCCTGCGTGGTGCCTGTGCTGCTGCTGAGCTTCCTGCAGCACGACTGGTGGCTGGGCCTTGCCATCTGCACCATTAGCCACCATGTTCTGCACCTTCTATAGCGTGGTGGCCACGGCTCTCCTGTACCACGTGGCTGTGGCCCTGCCTGACCTGGACTTCCCAGCTGGCTGGGGCAGCTGCTTGCTGCTCTGTGGAGCCATGTGGGCCCTGGGCCTTACTGCATCCCTGCCCGACTGGCTGTTCCAGAGGGTGGCAGTGGAGGAGGAGACAGTGGGGGCTCCCGAGACCCAGGCCTGCCTCTTGCTCCTGAACCCTGCTGGGACCTCCTGCTACTACTTCAGCCTGCTGGGAGCCCTGGCCTTCCTGCCATGCATGCTGGGGCTGGGCTGCTCTTTCAGCCATGTGGGCTGGCTCCTATGGACACAGCCCCGAGGTCCCATGGGAGAGAGCATCCAGGAGCATCAAGAGAACACAGCTATGGGCCACCTGCCTGCCACACCGGCTGTTTTTGTGACCTCCAGCCTCTGCACCTTCCTGGCCCACTCCAAGTGTGCTGTCAGCCCTATCTTCTGCTTCTACCTCTCCCGCCCCTTCCGGGCAGGACTCAGGGACCTCTTCTGCAGGCCGATGATGGCCAGGCATCCCAGAGATGTGGGAGTGGCAGCCACACATCACTGGCCAGTGATGGTGACTGTCCAGCCTGGCCATGACAGGGCCCCAGGAGGCCTGTGGGGCCTGGCAGGGGTCTAAGAGTATAGGCTGATGGATGGTCTGAGACTCAAGGGAGATGGGAAGACCCTTAGGGACCTGACAGCCCACCCCCTCTATTTTACCAGTGGAGAGACTGAGACCCAGCGGGCAGAGGGCCCAACCAAGGTCACAAGGCAACTAAATGGCTCAGTGAGAGCTCACATCTCTAGGTAACCAGGTGGATCCTCCCACTCCACCTTCAGGCTCAGATACCTGTAGGCTCTACTGCTCTCAATTGTGTGATCCTGAGCCTCTGTGTCGCAGTGTTCTCATCTGGAAAATGGGATGACGATAGTACATACCTTCTTCAGAGGGTTGTTATGAAGATGAATTTAAACACATGTAAAGTGCTTAGAAAGATGCTTAGTAAGTGCATATGTGTGCTGGTCATTGCTACTATTACTATTTTATTTGTATTAATTCAGGGGCATTTGAGGTGAGTGGACAAGAGGAAGGCAGAGGGGCTTCCAAAGGCAGAGAAGTGGGTGGAGAATGATCTGGGGGGTAATAGCCTACGGTCCTTAATCCTGAAGGCCAGGAGATTAAGTAGGGGGAGCAGAGGACCAGCCACAGCCTGGGCGGTGAGCTCAGAGGCGGGACAGCCTTTCCTCTCTCTGCCCACCCCTCCAGCTCTGTTCCACACACCCCTCAGTCCAATAGCGGGACAAAAATCCAGTCAACCATGCAGCCATGAGTCTGGGACTGTGAATGTCTGAAGCCCTCCTTTCTTCCCTGTGGCTTCTCTTCCTGAAGCACCTGGGGCAGGGATCCCTTTCAGGGCCCTTTTCTTCTCTCCAGAGCCCAATTTGAGGTCCCCATCTTTCCCACCCTCGGTGCCTTCCCTCTGGGCTGCTCAGGGCAGGCCTCAGTCTTCTGTGTTGGCCTGGAAACCCGGGAGATTGTCTCTACTGAAATTCCCAAGACAGCATGTTCTGCTTAGTGACGGTGTTACCAGCGAAACACACACACACACACACACACACACACACACACACACACACACACACACTGACTCTGTGATACAAAGCTTGAGAAATGTTGGGTTGAACCAGAGCAAACTGGTCCCTTTGCTGTAGGACTTAACAGAGCCTTGAATACCCAAAAGGCCACTGAAACTCTCGAGAGGGAAGCACAGCAGGCAGGTTCCCAAGCTCCACGCCAGGGAGCCAGTGTTCTGTGGACCACACCTTGGGAAAGAATCCACTAGATGCTACGGTGTTGGGCACAGCAAAGATGCTCTTGGCGTCCCGTCCCACCCCCAGCAGTGGCTCTGCGCCTCAGTCCCTCTGCCAGGCAAGCACCCTCTCCTGACACTTTCCCATGGCCCCTGTGGTGAGGTGACATGAGCTGCTGGTTATGGGAACTTCCCTCCTTCCAAGCTGTGACCCCACCCTGTTCCCACTCAAAGCGTATCAGAATGTAAGTCACAGGGGCATGTTAATTATAGGGACAACCGTGAATCAGCACCCATTTACTATAAAATCATAAGAAGTAAACAAGTCCCAAACTTTGGTACAATTAGTTCCAAATTTCTTGTGATGTTCAGGGTGGGAATGGCTGCCTGGAGGGCTAATCTGGGAACAGACTTGCCCAGAGAAGGGAGAAATCCCCTTTTGCTATGATCCCTGGTCCCTCATGGCCACAGGGATTTACATGTGAAGAGGAACAAGAGGAAAACAGTGTTTCTTAGGCACCTAAAATGCAGTGGGTCCTGGGTGCATGTCACGTACGTCATGTGCAACCTTATGTACTCGTCACTCTGGCCACGCGATGACCCTGCAAGGGTGGGGGTGGGAGTGACGACCCCACTGCACAGGGGACGCCAGACTCCTCATGGCACAGTGACTCTGGTGCCCACAGATTACCCAGCCCCTGATGGCTTGGTGTCAGTACACCATGGTTGTAGGATTTCCTCGCTCACTGCCCGAGAGCAGGGGCACCCTTGAGGGTGCAATTCTGTGTGTGCATCTCCAGCATGGTCTCCAATGCCTGAGTGAGGCCTGGCACTCATGTTTGGTAAATACTTGTTGAGAGATGAGTGAATGAGTGATCAAATGCAATAAAGCAATCCATTTATTTTAGAGGAAATTCTGATGATGTTACTCACTTCTCTCACCTCCTCAATGGCTTCCCTTTTCACTCAGTAAATGCCAAAGGCCTCATCATGGCCTACACGGCCCACGCATTCTGGCTTCTTCACCTCTGCAACCCCATCCTAGCACTTTCCCTTCCTGCACTCAGCTCCAGCCACACCTGCCCTGCTCTCCTGCAAACGCACCAAGGATGCTCCTACCACAGGGCCTTTGTACCTGCTGGTCCCTCTACTTAGAGCCCCTTTCCCCCAGATATCAGTGTGACTCCCTGTCTCACTTCCTGGGGGTTCACCTCAACCATGACCTCCTCTGAGAGGCCCTCTCCAACCACCTCATGGAACACATCACCCTCCTCCCTCATGTGTCTTTAGAACTCTTGCCACCACCTGAAATGATGTTACTAGCCTATTTGTTGATGTGTTTGCTGTGTCTCTCCCATACTATCTGTGTGTGTGTTGTAAGCTCTGTGTGGGGACAGGGCCTGTGCTTTGTTCATGGCTGCATCCTCCATGCCTAGCACAGAGCGTGGCACGTGGCCTTTGCTTGTAAATCCTACTGAACCAAACAATTGAAGGAAGCCACAGAGGAGAACGTGGACCCTGTCAAACAGCAACGTCAGTGCTATTTTTCAGAGAAGAAAGAAAAACATCATGCTTTACTAAAAGAACCAAATTTACTTCAGTTTAAGGCAAATTCCACACAGAGACTGTCTCAGAGACGGGCACAGAACCAGACACCGTAGAAACACCACCACCATGCATGACAGGGAAGCAGAGGCAGGCAGAAGACGGGGGCCTGGCCCGCACCAGGCACGGAGAGGTCAGTGGGCTGAGGAGCTCCATGCGGCAACAGGGACTGGCATGCATGACCTGCTCCCCGAGTGGGCAAAGGCGGCTGGGTGGGCCCAGGAGGGAGATCCCCTTCTTCCCTACCTTTCCCACAGCAGGGGCAGCGCTCAGGCTCAGATGCCAGAGCCCAAGGCTGAAGGACTAGGGTGTGTTTGGGGTGATGGGATGGAACAGGGTGACACAAAAGCCAAGGCGGCCTCGGGTAGGGTCACATCAGTTAGGAGTAGGATGTGGGGGAGCTGGGCATGGGATGAATGACCCTCAGGATGTCAGATCTAAAGGAAAACCTGGGGCCATCTGGTCAACCCTCTTGTCATACAGACATGGAAATTGAGGCCCAAAAGGTAGAAGGGTCTTGCTTGGGTTCCCACATTAGGCAGTTGGGGGAGGCAGGGCTCAAACCCAGGGCTCCTGTCTCCTAGCCTCATGGGATACAGGGCAAAGAGCAGGGGCAGTGTGGGAGCATGGGGCTGAGCCACTCCTTACTCAGGCCTCCAGGTGGCAGAGGCATGGGCACCGAGGGCCCTGGGAAGCCTCTGGAGGTAGGAGGGGATTCCTGAAGCCAGGAGTCAACCGTGGAAGTGCCTGTGGGCCCACACCAGGGAGAGGCCTCCACAGGCTGTGTGTCTAGAACTTGCATCGTACTGAGCTCAAGAGGCACCAGAAAGGGCTCTGTGCTGAGCAGCCTCCACTTCAGGCCCATTACATGGCTGATGGTCCATGATTACAGCACCCTGTGGGTCCCCGGGGCTCCCAATGCATCCAGTGTCCCTGGGAGGGGGCACATGTTCAGGCCTTCCTGCAAACCCATCAGCTTCATGGGGTTCACTGGAAATTGGGCACAGGATAGACCACAGGGCGGGGGTCAGTGATAGTAGACACCATGGGTGGATGGGACGGAGATGGGGGGCTGGAGGAGGCCGACCCCAGGCTTCAGGGTGACAGGGAAGCAAATAAGATTGCCGGGGGTGGGCGACAGGGACCCCCAATCACCCCTATTGTTTACACCTTCCTGACTGGGCTAGAGCCAGGTACTGGTGAAGAAGAGAAGGACTAGGTCCCTGTGTACCCCGCTGTCACCTGTGCACCCCTAACTCCCTGGGTCTGGGCAATAAGTGAGGCCAAGAAATTGAGGAGGGGGTCTTCAGAAGTCCCACCCCTTGGCAGCCTCCCAGGCACACAGATGTCCCAAAGGCCGGGCAGGCCAACTTCGGGGAGTCTGGGGCCCCGGCCTCCTGTTCACCTGGCCTCTCCCAGGCCCCAGCCACCTGCCTGCTGAGACCAGGTTCAGATGTGTGTGTGCAGGGGGGACGCAGGGGGCGTGCGGGCTGGGGACTGCGAGGGCGAGTGGGTTGGTGCTGCGGGTGGGGGACGTGGGCGAATGCCCTGTGCCTTCATGTAGGACACCAGTTGGTCAGGGATCTCTGCCAGCACGTCTCGGGCCAGGCGGGCCATGCTCAGCACGTGGTTGCCTGTGCGGTCCACGTAGTCCCGGAAGGGTACAAACTGGCAAATGGGAGGGCAGGGTCAGGCAGTGCCTCCTGTGGGACCCTGGTCCCCAAAATCTCCAGGCCTGGGGTTGCATCCCCACCCCAATCCCAGCCTCTGCTCACTTGACTCAATCCCCCCATCTTTGTGAGTGACCTGAGGGACTGTATCCCCCAACTCCCTGGGTTTAGGCAGTAAGTAACTACAGTCATAGTCACTATTCTTTCATTCACTTGACAAATACTGAGCCCTAGTCCACACCAGGACACACCATGGAACAAGACTCTCCACCTCGGCACTAAGCACAGCACTCAGTAGGTGCTTCCAAAATACCAACTGAATCCCTGACTTCTGGGGCATGTGCCCTCCTGGGTCTCCCCTGACCTGTCCAGCTGAGCCCTCTCTCTCTCTGGCCTCTCTTCATTCCTTTTCTCTCTGGGGCTAACCTGGCCAATGCCTAATGCCAGGCTTCTTCCCAGAGGGTGCCCTCCATCCTGAGCGCCTCCTCCGGTTCACTCCTGCCTCCAGGCCTTGGCATGGGCTGGTCCCACCTCCCAGGTTGTCCTTGCTCTGGTTTCTAGCCCCCTGTGTTTCGTCTCCACCCCTGGGATACTGGACCCCAATTTTTAAGACAAGGGGGTATGGAGGATGTCAGTTTTGTCTTCTGCATCTCCTGAGCACTAGGGCCTCCTCTGCAGGGGATGAGTGGGGGAAGTGCTTGCGGAGGGTGCATTCTTCCGCGTGACTGCGCGGAAATTCCCTGAGGACAAAGATCTTTCTGCTCATTATATTTGCATCCTTCATGGAGATGCTTACATTGATTCAGTTAACCAAGCAATGCCCATTCTTGGAGAAGGCTGTAGCAACGCTAAAGACACTGCCTCGGCCTTCAAGGGGCAGAAAAAAACAGAACGAGGCTGACCACAGAGGCCTGGGGGCTGAGGAAGGGCTGGCAGAGGGTTCTGGCCTCTGGCTGGGCACCCACAATGTTAGGAGTGTGTCCCAGGCGTGACAGAGAGGGGCCCAGCCCAGAGCACAGCATGGCTGAGGAGTGACTCCTACTCCCTTCCGTGACGACCGGGGCACTTTGGGGCTCTCGGTGCCTCCCTCCCAGGCCCTTCCCCAGGGAAGCCCCCAAAGGGGGTGTGAGGTCCGCCTGGCTAGAGGGACTCTTGAATTTCCCGTGGGGCAGGCAAAGTCTGGGCTTCACCTGGACAATGTCGCGTTCAGCCAGCTTCCCCCGGGAGGAGATCCGCACGTCGTCACCATCCAGCTCCACCATGGCTGTGAGGGGAGCAGTGTCATGGGGGGGTGAGATTAATGGTGGACCCCTGGGCCTGGCAGGAGAGTGGACTTGTCCTTCCATCCCGGGCCAATCTGGGGCTGAGATCATTGGCCCATGCCCCATGTTAGAGATGAGGATACTGAGGCCGGGGCCAGTTTCACCGATCAGGTGAGCCTCTGACTTTGAGCCCAGTGCTTTGGCTCCCCACACTCCCCGGACTCCCAGGGCTGGGGGAGAAAGAAGTGACTTGGGGCCTCCTCCCCACAGCCTTGGGATGTGGGTGTGGGTGCGCACCCAGATCTGACACACCCCTCCCTGCGCAAACAAACGCACCCCACACCCTGCACACTCACCCAGACACACACGCCCAGGCGGGAGCTCTTACTCTTTCGGGAGGGATCATTCCCAAGGGCCCGCAGCCTCTGGGGAAACATCTGGGGTGGGGGCAGGGGTACGTGGCTAGGGAAGGAAAGGAGGGGAGGGCAGCAGCTGGACTCACCGTCGAACTCTGCCTGGCCCACGCCGACGATAATGATGGACATGGGGAGCTTGGCAGCCTGGGAGACAGCATGGGGGGCAGGGGAAGGTTGGACCCATTTGGGACCCAGTTAAAAGGAAGGAGAAATCAGGGGCAGGGACAGGAAAGGGTGGGCAGAAAAGAAAAGGGAGAGTGAACATGTAGAGACAGAGGAACACAGAAAAGGGGGAATGGGGGTAGGGAGAGGGAGGGCACTCAGATAAAAAGCAAGGGAAACCAGGCTGTGGCCCGGAGGAGACAGGGAGGGTGGTGGGGGGAATGGGTCATAGGTCTGCTTTGGTGAGTCACCCCTATCCCTTCTTACAGGGAGACCACTGGCTCAGAGAGCCATGTTCCTGGGCTTCCCCAACTCTGAGCCTCCCCTCCCACTCCCTTGACCTGGCCAGGTCGGCCTAGGGAAGGGGGAAGCAGTCCTAGAGATGGGTTAATGAGGGAGCCATCGGGGTCTGGAGGGAGTAGACAACCCACTGTGATTAAGAGGTGGGAACAGTGCTCAGCAGCCAGATCTCTCATGATCTGGGCACCCCTTCCACTCCCCAGAATCCACTATCCAGCACCGGACTCTGCAGCCAGAGGCCAGGAGGCGGACAAGGGCAGTGGGGCCCAGTGAGGGAGGGAAAGGAGTAGCCCCGCCCAAGTCACCTCCAAGCATTTCCCTAAAGTCAAGGAGGTAGGCACACTCCCAGGGTTCCCCTAAGGGGGAGGAAGACACCCCTCAAACCGCCTCCCCACTGCACACTCCTTGCTTACATTGACAATGGCCTCCTTGGTCTGCGCCATGTCCGAGATGACCCCGTCTGTGATGATGAGCAGCACCGAGTACTGGGAGCCATCCTGCACAGCTGCTGCATTCCTGGGTGCGGCAGGCAGGGACTAAGGTCTGTCTGCCGGGCCTCTGGGCATGTTCCCCGCTAAACAAGGACCCTGAACACTTTGGAGAGTGACAGCTCTTGGGGGAATCTCTTCAGGGTCAGGGCTCCCTGAAAGGCAAGTGTGTGGGAAGAGACACCCCCTCCCACCACCCAGAGGCAGCCAGTATGGAAACGGAGGCCTTGTGAGTGCCTGGAGGCGGTGGCAGTGGCACTCACCTGGCCACGTGGGTGACCACGGGGGCGAAGTTGGTGGGGCCGTACAGCTGCACCGTGCGCAGGCTGCGGTGGTAGGCCTCCAGGATGCCGTCGATGCCGCAGCACGAGGGATTCTCCTGGTTGCCATTCTAGGGGACAGAGGGCGGGGAGGCTGAGCCCAGGAAGGAAGGACGGGAGTGTGCAATGTGTGGGAACAGAGCCAGGTGGGGAGGTCAGCAGGCCTGGGCTCCCCCAGCTCTTCTCTGGTGTGGGGTGGCGGGGCAGGGGAGGGAGCTACCAGGGCCCATCTTGAAGCAGCACGTGCTTCAGGTGAGCTGGGTCCAAACCTGCTCCTTACCCAGCTCCCTGTACCTGTTCAGAGACGCCCCAAGATCCCTGGCTGCCTCCCTCAGGGAACCTTGGGTAAACCCACTCTGCCCAAGTGGGTCTGAGCAACTCAGGAAGGAGCTGTGGCTGATCTGTCCACATGCATACTGGGCCCAGCACAGCACCCTGCATCCTCAGGCATGGGAGGGACGTCTGCTGTGCCTGAGTGTCCCCAGCTCATGGGAGCCAGGGAAAGGGGTGGCCTGTGCAGTCATCTCCACAGGGCCCAGGCCGCCCAGATGATGCCACGCTCCACATCACCCCAGGGATCCACCTCATCCCATCTCAGCACTGACTCAGGGATACCCAACCCACACCACCTTGTCCGCTTTGCTGGGGCCCTGAGGGATGGGTCAGCCACAGCTCGCCTCCACCTCCGCCTGCGTCTTGTCAGGAACAAGGAGGCCAGAGCCAGCTGTGGGCAGGCACTTCAGATGTGGAGGGGCAGCATCTGTGATCAGGGAAGGGGGTGGGTTTCTGGAGCCCCCTACACACAGCAGACAGTCTACCCCCACTGAGGCTAAGCCTTAAGTCCCTGGGCTCAGAGGAAGGGAAATGTGCCCCCACCCCCAGCTTGTCACCACACCCCCAGCCTGGTCAGTCCTCTCTCCCACCAGCGGGACCTCCTACCAGCGGGAACTCATGGGACACCCTGCCATCGGGGGGCAGCTTGGCCCCGAAACCCAGGGCAGGGAACATCTTGTCACTGTCGTAGTGCTGGATGATCTCTCCGACGGCGGTCAGGGCCAGCGCGTAGGCGTTCAGCTGGTAGGGACTCATGTAGTGCAGGGATGTGGACTGTGAGGGGTTCCCTGCAATACAGGACATGGGAACCTTTGACCATCTGGACCCACCAAGTCACCCTGGGTTCAGAATGAAGAAGGGGGTGTCCAAGGGCACCCCTAACTTTTATTAATCCTTGACTCCTCTCTTTCTCTCATATCCTATATTAAATCCTTCAGCAAAACAGATCCGGAATCCCTCCTCATTCTCTCCTCCTCCCCATACCACCATCCTCTTGCTTATAGGATGCAGCAGTTTCCTAACTGATCTCCCCGCTTCCTTCTGCCCTTGTGCCTCCAGCCCATACCCAGCACGGCAGTGACTGAGCCTATCCGCCTCAGAGAGATCATGCCTCTCCTCTGCCCAAAACGCTCAACGCTTCCACCTCCCGCAAAATGAAACCCAAAGTCCTCATGAGAACCCGCAAGGCACACATGAGCTGGCCTCCAGGTCATCTCCTACCCTCCTCCCTGTCACTCACCAGTCCCAGCCTCACCAGCCCCTCGCCATTCCCACCTCAGGACCTTGGCAATGGCTGTTCCCTCTACCTGGGACACTTTTCCCCAGATGTCCACATGGCCTGCTCCTTGGCCTCTTCAGGTCTCTGCTCAAGTGTCACCTCCTCAGTGTGATCTTTTTCAAGCAGCCTATTAAAAATTACAGCCTCCCCCAATCCTTCCTATCCTTCTTCCTGGCTTGATTTCCCCCCCAGAGCCCTCTTCACTACTAATATAGTCTATATTTAACTTATTTGTTCATTGATGAGAGGGAGTACAGCACAGATTGCCAAGATACCAATCCTATCTACCTCCTACTAGCTATGTGATCTTGGGTAAGTTCCTTAACCTTAGCCTTAGTCTCTTCACCTGTAAAATCACAGCAATAATAGTTCCTACTTCATAGGATTGATGTGAGTATTAAACAGGTGCTATCAATATTATGATAATGATCCTCAGTGTTATTATTACTAAGGCTCCTCCCGGCTCTGATTGCCCAGTGCTCTATGACGCTAGGACCTACAGCTATAAGAGGGGCTCCTGACACCTGTTAAGGGCAGGACCTGGGCATTTTTGATTGGCGCAAAAATGAGCACTGAGCACCCCTAATAGAGCCTAGAGCCCAAGGAAGGTTGTGATGTTTCTAATCATGTGAAGTTTGGCACTGTGATTGCTCCTACTGACCCAGCCACAGGCTGACACTGGAGAAATTGGGAGGAGGGAAAGAAGCCAGGGCAGCCCCAGCCAGGTAAAGACCGGGGTCCCTGGGCTGGATCCTGCCTCCCTGAACATCACAGAGCTCAGTCTTGGCTGTGGTTCTCCACTCCAGCCTGTGGGTTGGACTGCACAGAGGAGCTGAGATTTGATCCCGGGGTAAAACATCTCCAGGGCTCTCCATAGGCCCAGAGTACACACAACCCCATTCCTCCAGGGAGACTGGGTGTTCCTCAAGGACAAGCCTGTGGTTCAGAGCCCAGATTTATGTCCGTGGTCCAACCTGGGGATACCTCTGCCATCTTGGTTGTATCTTTGGTCCTCCAGACCTAGGTACCTCCTCTTTGGTGAGGAAGAGGCCAGAGAGTATGAGGATCATGGTCCCAGCCAGGGCCAGACACCACAGCCCTTAAAAGTTCTCTCCTCCCACCCTGCTCTTCTGCCCATTCCCCAACTCACCATTGGAGGCAGTGAAATCAATGGCCACAGTGAAGTTGATCTGGGTCCTAGAAGAGGGAGAACAGCAGGGGAGTCACCTGGAGGGAGGCAGGGCTGTAGGAGAGGGGACAGTGCTAGACACTGGCTACCACCCTGGCTCTGCTGCTTGCCAGGTATGTGGCCTTGGTGAAGTCACTCATCTCTTTCTAGTTCTGGAGTGCTGAGATAGTAATGCCAGCTATGCTCCCCTAAAAGGGTTAATGAGCATCAGAAGAGTTAGGCAGCAGGAAAGCTCTTTGAAGATGATTGTGTTCTGTGTGGGCATGCGGCTATGATCACTTACTTCCTCCACAAACCCTGCCCCCTGGACCCACCTGAGCAGGCTGGGTGAGGTTGAGTCTCATTGGATTGCTGGCTCAAATTTGGAGTGAGATACGGGACAAAAACTCATTTGACAAAAAAGAGATTCAAATAGACATTATGCATCTCCTAGAGAAAGTATAGAATACCACCCATGAAGTTGTCTTACCAAAAAATTGAACCTGATTCTGATTGAGGCTCCAGAGCTGTCTAGTCAGTTACAGGAAATACAGGGGACAGAGGAACACATTAAATGACACCACAGAAGATGCAGCCAGCAAAATCCAGTCTTTGGGAAACTCTGTAGAAGCACTACCAGAGTCAGCAGCAGCACCATCTCCTGGGAATATGCTGGGCCTCTCAGACTCCATGTAGCTCTCCTGAATCTTTTTTTTTGAAAAGAGGTCTTGCTCTGTCACTCAGGCTGAAACGCAGTGTCATGATCACAGCTCACTTCAGCCTCAACCTCCTGGACTCAAGCAGTTTTCCCACCTCAGCCTCCTGAGTAGCTGGGACCACAGGCACACACCACCACATCTGGCTAACTTTTTTTTTTCTTTTTGTAGACATGGGTCTCATTATATTGGCCAGCCTGGTCTTGAACTCCTGGGCAAAAGCAATCCTCCTGCCTCAGCCTCCCAAAGTGCTGGGATTACAGATGTGAGCCACCACATCTGGCTGAATATTAGATTCCCTTGGTGGGGTACAGGAATCTGTGTTAGCAAGCCATTCAGGTGCTTGGGGGGAATTAATAGATGAAAAGACAATTAAGAGATCAACCTACCAATCACAGCCTATGGCTCTTGCCTGGATTTCTGACTCAAACAAACCAATTTTAAAACTATAAGATAATTCGGGAAATATAAACACTCACTAGATATTTAGTATTAAGGAATTGTTAATTTTTTAGGTGTGGTTATGGTATTGTGGTTACGTTTTATAAAGAGAGAGTCCTTATGTTTTAGAGAGACATCCTAAAGCATTTGGGGATAAAATATGATGGCTGGGATTTACTTCAAATTGTATATTAGGAGGCTGAGATGGGAGGATCAATTGAGACTAGGAGTTCAAGGCCAGCCTGAGCAACATAGTGAGACCTCAAAAAAAAAAAAAAAAACCCACTAAAATAAAAAAGAATAATAAATAACTGAATGAAGGGGAGAGTGCACAAAACAAGACTGGCTATGATGTGGTAATGGCTGAAACTGGGTGAAGGTTACTTGGGGGTTGATTATACCTTTTCTCCACATTTGCATGTGTTTGACGTTTTCTATAATAAAAAGTTAGGTTTTGAGGATTCAGATTCAGGGTTGAGACTTTCTGAGGGCTTGGCCATTCCAGGTTCTGTGCCGGGTCCAAACAGAACAAAGCTGACAAACACAAGTCCCTGATAAAGTCTAGTCTTATGGTTCTCACATGGCAGTGAGCATAGAATCACCAGGGATGCTTGCTGAAGAAGATTCCAGGGCTCCACCCCAGAAATGCCAACTGGAGTGGCGCCCAGAATCTGCCTCTTGAACAAACGTCCACTGCCTTCATCCAGGGATTACGAGGACAAGAGGCTGGGATCACATTGGGGGAAACTCCGTTCTAGTAATTCTGTTGGGACCATGGATGATGTAAGATCAGGTAGGCCTCACCTCACTTGCATTTAGCAGAAGGTGCCTATCAGAAACCACAGCTCTGTCAGCAGAAGGTCCCTATCAGAAACCACCTGATCACAGCTGAGCTGCTGCTCATGGAACCCTTACCCCCAGGGAAATGTCAAGGACATGGTTAGCAGGAGACCCAAGCCAGGGTCTGCTGGCCACAGACAGTCATCTCCATCCTCTTTACCCTCTTCTGCTGGCTGAGGGCAGAGCATCCAGAGGATTCCAGGCAGTAGGAGAGAAGGAGCCACAAGCTAGCAAGAGCCTGGGTTCCTGAATGACTGCGTGGATCATATCCCCACCCAACCCTGCCATCCCACAGATGAAAAACAGACCTTCATTTGTATGAAGGCTTAAGATTAGGGAATTATGTGTTACAGCAGTTGACCTACCATACTCATCTGCTGTTCGTTGTCACCTTTCAGTGTGGAATATAGAACACATGCCTTTGTTAGAGGTAGGGAGACATTTGGAGGGTCAAAGTCCTGTTCCCAGGGCCACTCTTGGGAGGATGATTCTGGGCTGTGGGACTATACTGGAAGGACACTGTTGGACTGGCTCTTCCAAATACAGGGTGAGGGGAAAGGCAGGCCTTACCTCTAACTAGGTCCCCCCCTGCTCCTGGGTCTGAAAGCCTCGGGAAAGGAAGCAATTGAAAGCAGATACTCTGTGGGAAATTACTCGCAGCAGCCTAGTCTCTCCCCGCCTAAGAGTAGAACAACACAGGCTGCTGAGCAACCAGCTCCTCCTCTGACGGTGAGGCCAGGGTACCCATACGCCTTCCTCCTGGGGCCAGGTGGCAGGTGAGAGAGGCCAGGGAGGGAGAGGATCCCTAGACATCGCTCCTGCCCAGGCATGCATGCCCCAGGCTCTCAGTCCCTGCAAGCCCAGCTCCCCTCACTCAGGGTTTCCAGAGGAGTTTAAAGAGAGGGCTGGCTCTGGGGCTACAATCTGCCCAGTAATGGGTGGCACCCAGCTTAGCTCAGCCTCTGAGGGCTCCTTTCCCAGAAACCTCACAGCAATCCAGCCCTTTAACTCATCAGCCTCCATCTTCATCCCCACCCACCTGCTAACTGCGAGTCAGGCACCAACGCGAGTCATTACTAATAGAATGAAAGGCAGCATGTTATGAGAGAAGGGAACCCTGGCCACATCTAGGCGTGTGGCTTCAGGCAAGCTCTGTAAAATGGGGATAACTGTCCTGATCCTGGCCCACTGGTTTCTGTAAGTGGGTGGGTACTATGCAAATGAGAAAATAAAACAGGATGGGCTCACGCCTGTACTCCCAGCACTTTGGGAGGCCAAGACAGGTGGAATCACCTGAGGTCAGGAGTTCGAGACCAGCCTGACCAACATGGTGAAAGCCACTCTCTACTAAAAATACAAAAATTAAGCCGGGGGTGGTGGTGCACCCTATAGCAGCCCCAGATTTACTCTACTTGGAGGCTGAGGCAGGAGAATCTCTTGAACCCGGAAGCAGAGGTGCAGTGAGCCGAGATTGTGCCACTGCACTCCAGTCTGGGTGGGACAGAGCAAGACTCTGTCTCAAAATAAAAAATAAAATGAAATAAACATAAAAAATAAACAGGCATGAGGGATGTTTGAGACTTGCCAGGTGCTATGGACTGTAAGGGGTGGCTGCTTATGGGATTGAGAGGGAAGCAATTTTGATGGGGGAAGAGTACAAAGGCAGGGTCTGGAGTCAGCCCAGAGGTGGGGCAGGTAAGAGCAGAGGAGCCCCTGAGTGACTGGAGGCAGGGTGTGTGCTCAGTGGGTAGGAGGAGAGCTTGCAGAGACTACAAGCTCAAGGCAGCAGGGAGTGGTGTCATGGGAAAGTGAGTGTGGCTTCCCAGGACCTGACTTCTCTGCCCTGGAGAACCAGGCAGCCAAGGGCCCGCTTGGCTGGGATGAGCCTTTGGCAGCTGCTTCTGCCTGTCTCCTTTCCAGACAGGTGCAGTCACTCACCTGTGGGCTCTTGGCTGCCCACGCCCTGACCTGGCACCTGTCCTGGAAGGGAGCACGCTGGGTAGGCTCTATCCTTAGAGCCAGGCTCTTTCCATGAGCTGCTGGCTGGATCCTCCTGGCTCCCCCATCTGTCCGGGCCTAGACACTGTCCCTGGTGGTTCTTTCTGCTCCTTAAACTCGTGTTTGACCACCCGCTGTCCCCAGGACCAACCCCTGGCTTATCCCCAATCCTACTGCCCTTACAGGGCCCTAATAACAGTGAGCAGGTCAATCATGGTCCCCTCCCCCAACCAGACAGATCAGAGGTGTCAGAAGCTCAGAGCTGGAAGGAACCTTAACACTTACCTACTCCGTTCTCTTTGTGTACAGAGGAGGAAACTGATACCCAGAGAGGAAAAATGACTCGCCCAAAGGAACCCCGCAAATTAATGACAAAGAGGGTTCTAGAGCCTGGGCCTCCTGACTCCTATTGCAGGGTTCTTTCTACCTCCCCAAGTCCTTGGCTTTCTGTCACGGAGTCCCTACCAGCTCCAGGTCCGGTCTCTGCATGGAGACCTGACATGACCCAGGCCAGCCTCCTTGGCTCAGGAGTTCCCTCCAAGCTGCTCGGGATCTGGGGATGTGCAGGGCTCTGGGTGAGTTGTCTCAGCCCAGACACCAGGGTTTGCTCAGAGCCCAGCACTGCAGCCTTCAACCAGGGCTTTGAAGAGGCCAGGGTGGGGCCAGAGCTGGTCCTGTCGGTGTGTGGGGCCCTTTCCCTCTCCCCAAGGCCCATGAAATTGGCTGTATCTCTTCTCACCCTCCTTTGATGTAGTCAAGGAAGGTGCACTCTGACTCCACAGCAAAAGAAAGCAGGGTGACCTTGAAAACAAAAGGGAGCTTAGTCAGTGGGGAGCCTGGGGTCAGGGGAGATGGGTTACGATTCGAGAGCTGACATTGACAAAACACTCGGCATGTGCCAGTTTTGCATGCATGATTGCATGCACTGCCCACACCACCCCATGAAGTACTATTATTATCCCCACTTTATAGCCAAGGAAACTGAAACTCAAAGAGGTGACGCAATGTGCCCAAGGACACTGCCAGGGCAGAAAGGAGATCTGAAACCAGGGTGTGTCTGACTTCAGAGCCTGCACTCTTGACCTGGACGGAAGGGTCCCATCTGTGTCAGTGGAGCTGGAGTCCAAGCCAAGGGCGTTAGTTTCCTCTAAGTGGGCACTGGCTCTCCAGCCCCAGGGGCCTGGGGTGGGGTGTGGAGGACAAGGGGGCCCTCCTGACATAGGCCTAACAAACCGCCAGTGCTGACCAGCTTCAGGCTTCCATGTGCCTAGAGCTATTAGTCCTGAATTGTGCCTCTTTGGATTGTGCTTATCTTAAATCTTACTGGTCCCATCTCATCCCTCTGAGACCCAAGACCCTCCCTCATAAGCAGCCCATCCTTTCCCCAGAGGTAACTGACCACCCCAGGCCCCCTCCCCCGAGCAGAGGCCTTTTAACCTATGCCCTGGCAAAGTTAGCTTTGGCTTTGCCAAGACAGGCAGCTACCTGGCAGCTCAGTGTCATAACAATTTAGAATCAAGGAGACAAATGATAGCCTGGCATCCTAGGCCAATTAAATGAGGCAAGATTAGGGCAGAGGATGTTTCACCTGTGTAAGAGAACGAACTCCTATCTGGTAGTTTGAGAGCCCCCTATTCATGAAGATTCAGCCGTTTTTACAGGCTCACTGGGAGGGCCAGGTGAGAGTACCACCCTTACTTGGCAGTAAGACCCCCACCTACTGCGGTTAAGGTGTTAGGCACCTGGATGAACCGCAGGCCTCCTTCCAAGTGTGGCAGCTCAGACTCACTAGGAGTGGACCATGGCAGTGGCTTCAACCCTGACTGATGACCATGAGATGCCCTGGGGAGCTCTTAGATCATCCTGCAGCCCAGACCCATTACAGCAGAGTTTCTGGAGCTGCATGAACGTTTCAGAGATCTTTTTATTTTTAGCTCTTCACGTAAGTCTAATCTGCATGGAATGACCACTCCCTATTCCAACCCTCAGGATGAAGCAATGCCCTAACAGCCCTAACCATGCAGGTTCACCCAGGCGCCCTCAGGGTGAAAGCAGACTTTCCCCTCCTCAAAGTGTAGCGTCCCTAGACCAGCAGCATCAGCATCACCTCGATGCCAGGTAGAAAGGCAGAAATGCAGATTCTTGGCATTTTCACAAGATCCCCAGGGGACTCTGTGCACTGTAAGTAAGGGATGAAAGGCCCACTAAACACAGATTCCTGGGCCTCCTAAAGTGGAATCCCAGGGAACTGGCCTGGGTGTCTGTATTTCAACAAGCTTTCTGCATCCTGGGTGATTTTTCCTGGTGAAGATAGGGAAATGCTAGAGTAAAGGAAAGTCAAGAGACCTGGGCCTAGTCAAGAGACAAGGACCCGCTCTGTCTCCAACTCACTGTGTGACCTGGGACAAATCACATGTCCTCTCCAGGCCACAGTTTCTTCATCTCTAAAGTAAGAAGGCTGGATGAGATCAGTGGTTTTTGAACCTTTTTATTCCCAGCTGGGGAATGCTGGGGGTGCTGTCTTTCCTAGGGGAATTTGGGAAGCTGTGGGAGAGTTTTAGGGGCTCTCATAATGACTAGGACTCTACTGGGCAGCGGCCAGGGGTGCTAAACATCCTGTGAGATGAAGAATTTCCCTGCCTCAACGCTGACAGCATCCCCACTAAGAAACGCCGCAGCCTGGGACAAAGGAAATATGATTCCAAGCCCCAGTCTGTGAAGCAGTTACAATCAAAGAAATGGTGTTCAGTCCCCTTCGAATGAGCAGAGTAATTTTACAGTTCACAAGCCTGCATCTCCCATGTGTCTGTCACAGCTGCCCTGTGCAGTGGCAAGATGGGGATAATTTATTAGTTCCACTTTACAGACGGAGAAAATGAGGTTCCTCAGAGGAACCCCAGAGCTCCCGAAGACCTCTTCTAGGTCTGGAGATACAGTCTGCCTGACTCAAATGCCCAGGCTTGGCTGCACTAGCCATGGGCCTCTAGAGTGAGGAAGGAACACAGAGAGGATGAACTTGGGTGTGTTTGCACAGCAGAGACAGTGGCTTGTTCTAGAAATGCACTGTGAGCTCCACTTCAGGGCCTTTGCACGTGCTGTTCTCTACAGCAGGCATGCTGGAATTCCCTTTTCCCGGTATCCTCAATACTTCCTCCATTGCCTGTCCCTTTACCCTTTATACTTTTTCCATAGCACTCATGATCAACTGACACACACAGGCGTGTGTGTGTGTGTGTTTGTTCTCTGTCTTCCCCCACTAGAATATAAGCACCAGGGATTTGGGTCTGTCTTGTTTCCAGCTGTATCCGACGTGCCTAGAACAGTGCCTGGCACACAGTAGCACTCAGTAAATATTTGTTGAATAAACATATGAATGTCCTGAAGACCAGCCCCCAGAAGCCACTAGGCCGGCGTGTCATCCCAGGAAGGTCACGGTTAAGCAGGGGCAGCGCCCGTAGCAACTGCCAGCTCTGGAGTGAGATGTCATGTTGACTCCCGTCTCTACCACTTTCTAGCTGTGTGACCTTGGCTGAGTCACTTTCCTGCTTGCAGCCTTGGTTTCCTCTTTCATGACTAGGGGATGATAATATCTGCCTCTCAGGGCGACAACCTGTGAAAAGCACCAGCATGGGGAATTTCCCAAGGTAGGGGCCCAATAAATACGACTTCTCTTCCTCTTCCTTCCTGCAGGAAGTCCCGTGGGTGTCTGCGATTCCTCATGGTAGATACGGCCAGCGCCTGTTGCGTGGTCTGCAAGTCAACTCCCTCCCCCGGCTGTTGCTCCATCTGCCCCACCCCTCCCCACCCCTCCCCACCCCATCTCTCTTCCACGTCTGATTCCCACACTCCGCCCGTGCACACACACAGACGCACGGGCCTCCCTGATACCAGACCTAGCTTGGGGCTCAGAATGTCTACACCCGGCTGCAGAGAGGGGTGTGGCTACTCACTGTGCCAGAATTCACGTATTTCTTTTTCTTCATTTTCTTTTTCGGGTTTACCACCTGCAGGAAAAACCAGTTACCAGGTAAGGCGTGCTTCCAGGCAGTCAGAGTGGGTCTTGAGGGCTTCCACCCACCCCTGGGTGTGGTCCAAGCCCAGCCCCATTAGAGTGTGGGGTGTGAGGACCACGGGGGCCAGGGGAGTAGGGTTTAAGGAGGTTTTGTGGGAGACTGGTATTGAGTCTGGATTACACAACTGGGCTCTCCGATCAGACCCAGGGTCCCACGATCAACCAGGAATATGTATTTAACCTTCTCTCCAACTGCTCCCTGGAACACACCCTCCGCTCAGTACAGCCAAAGAAGTCTTGGTGTTGCAAAGCAGCCCTGTCCGTACCTGTCCCTTGTGTTGGTTGAGGCTGCTCCCCTCACCCAAAATGCACCCCCTTCCTCTCTCAGCCAATTCCAATCTCCCTGTTTCTCCTTTGGGACCCAGCCCAAGGGCTGCCCAGGGCCCCTGAGGCTCCCCTCTCCATCACCATCCCTCTTACTTGGCAGCAGGAACCTCTTTAGCTATTCTTTGAGTGTAAGCTTTAGCTTCCAAAGCAGACCTGTGTCAGACAAACCGTGGGGCTAGGCTCAGAGTAGGTGCTCAGAGAAGGCTTGTTGGTGGCTAACTCACCGGTCTCAGGCGGGGGTGATTGTACCCCCAGGAACATTTGGTAACCTCTGGAGTCAGTTTTGGTTTTCACAACTGAGGGACTGAGTAGAGGCCAGGGATGCTGGTAAACATCCTACAGTATACAAGACAGCCTCCCATGGCATGGAATGATGCAGCCCTGAATCCCAGTGGTGCCAAAGCCAAGACTGGGCTCAGTGACGAGAGCCACCCAGCCCTGCGGACCCCCGTCAGACTTCCGCACTTACTGTATTTGTATTCTCATTTGACCCTCACCAGTTTTTCTTTGTTTTGTTTTTAATAAAGGAAGTCTAAGGCACAACTCTTCCCTAATGTCCCATCAAACAAATCCAGGCAATTTTCACACCTCCTGTGCTGCCTGTTGGTTTCTGGTGAACTCAATTCCCCTTTCCCTGTCTTTGTTGCCACAGAGGTCGTCAGCTGATCTTTGCCATGGTCTCTTCTGTCTGGGTGAGTATCGCTATCTACTTCCAGAAAGAAGGAAACTAAAGCTCAGAGACACCAAGTGATTTGCCTAAGGTCACACAGCCATCTGGGTAGTGACAGGATTAGAAACCAGGTTTCCTGCCCCCAGGCCAGTGGTACATACATTGGTGCCACCTTGATAACAGATACAAACAGATCTCTTTGACATATATTTATGGGATGGGTGAAAACACGTTTCTTCTCCCTTGGAATCATCACCTCTGTTGGAGAGAGAAGATATATCCTCAGGGCAAAAAGTGACAAGGGCCACGGAAAAAGGGGGATCACAGAAGTGTCAGGGGAGTTGGAGGAAGGAAAGACCACTCTAGGTGGGAGTGTCAGCAAAGGCTCCCTGGAGCAGGCAGTCTTGAAGGCAGACTTAGAGCGACAGGAAGGCTCTGGGCATGGAGAGATGGATGTCAGAGGAGGTTCTGTGGGAGAAATGCATAGAACCCAGGCCCAGTTTGATGGCAGAACCACAGGGTGGAAGAGTAAGTTGGGCTGGTTGGAGGAGAGCCTAGAATGCCCAGTGAAAAATGTCTGAAGGGCATTGCAGGGAACTCTGATGACCTCCAAGCTGGTAGAAGACAAAATCAGAGCAGGCTCTAGGACACTGGGGCCTGGTGGAGGTGAGTGTGAGGGGAGGAGGAAGCACATCCAGGAAATATTTGCCTGGTTCTGCCACCTAATAATAGCTGTGTGACCGTAGGCAGGTTACTTAACCTCAATGTGCCTCAGTCTCCTCATCTGTAAAATGGGAATAAGAAGTGCCTGCCTCCTGGAAAGGTATGAGGATTAAGTGGGCCATTGCAAGCAAAGTGCCTAGAACAGAGTTTGGAATGTAGTAAGTATTATCTATAAGTGTCTGTTGCTTTTTTCGTAGACAGGGTCTTGCTCTATGGCGCAGGCTGGAGTGCAGTGGTGGGATCATAGCTCACTGCAGCCTCGACCTCCTGGGCTCAAGCAATCCTCCCAGGTAGCTGGGACCATAGGCACATGACACCATGCCTGGCCATTTTTTTTTTTTTTTGGTAGAGATAAGATCTCACTACGTAACCCAGGCTGGTCTCAAACTCTTGGGCTCAAGCAATCCTCCTGCCTCAGCCTCCCAGAGTGCTGGGATTACAGGTGTGAGCCACTGCACCCAGTCTCAGTTGCTATTTTTTAAAATTATTACTACTACTATTACTGCCACCACTAGTCCCTACAAGAGGTAATGAGGACTTGGGGGTATTGGGACAGGTGATGAGCTATGGTAGGAACAGCATCGTCAAGAAGTGACTATGCCTCTTGGGCCCTGAGGGTGGCTATAGAGGTTCAAGAGAGGGAGGGGTTGGGGTGACCAGGTAGACATGGAAGCAGCTGAATTTGGAGCACAGGTGGGAAGTTCACGTGGGAGGGCAGGCAAGCTGTGCAGGTAGAAACTGAGAGCCTGGGCGAGATGGTGGGAGAGCCTGGGAGAGAAGACCAGAGCACCCTCTTTAGCACTGGAGGACACCCCCTCCATGGGGCTACCCGGATGGTGAGGTGCTCACAGACACATTCATGGGAAAACAGCTTAAGTAGGCAAGCTGTTAAGATGAGGGCAAAATGGCAGCCCCAGTGCTGCACTGTGCCTCAGTTTCCCGATCTCTCCCTTGAGGGTGTTGAACTATCGGAATGGAGAGCATCTCAAACTTTTGCTCCAACATAGCCCTCCTAGCTGGGGAGAACGAACCTGGAGTTCTGAGAGTAACCAAAGATTTGGCCACAAGCACATTTCTTCTAAGCTTTCTATGTTATCTTTAAATTAGCCTGTATTCCACATTTCCACTCTCTAGTATAACTGCTTTAATGTTAAAGCAATGCTCTGTTCTCAGATCCCTGTTTACCCTGAAGTTTCATGCCCCCAGCCTCAGCCTCTCCAGTCCCGCCATGGTGAATCCCATGCAGGGGGGCCAGCGCCACCTAGGGGCCAGCCCAGGAGCCGCCCTTCCACTAGGTCGCCTCTTTTCTCTCTTCTTGGTGGTCAGGCCGGGTCTGAATCAGGTCTGGAATCCTCCCTCCTATGCACCTTAGGTGGGGTGGGGTGGTGGGCACTGAGGGGTTCCTAGGGGCCAGGAGAGCAGCAGCGAGTGCAACACAACCCTCACCCTGAGGACTTCATGGTCTTTGAGGGAGTGGGTAGTGTCACAAACAGAAAATAGCCAGAGGGGACCCCAGGAGCACGGACAAGTGTCCACTCCAGGCTCTGGGGTGCAGCAGGTGTGCAGGTGGACACAACTTCCTGGAGGAGGAACACCCACAGGGAGGCTCCGTGGACCAACAGCTCCTACCCAGGAGAAGACAGGAGGTGGAGGCACCCGTGCGAATCAAGCCCTGTAGACTGAGACAGTACGGCGGTTCAGAGAGCCTCAAATGGCAGGACGGGGCTGATTGTGGAAATGGGCAGAGGGAAGGGGCAGGGGTCACTCCTAGGGCCCTCCAAAGGCATGCGATGTGTGTTTCTATTTACATGCACAGCCAGGCGTGGTGGCTCACACCTGAAATCCCAGCACTTTGCGAGGCCAAGGCAGGTGGATCACCTGAGCTCAGGAGTTAGAGGCCAGCCTGGGTAACATGGCAAAAACCAGTCTCTACCAAAAATACACACACAAAAAAAATCGCCAGGGTGGTGGTGTGTGCCTGTGGTCCCAGCTACTTGGGAGACTGAGGTGGGAGGATAGCTAGAGCCTGAAGGCGGAGGCAGAGGTTGCAGTAAGCCAAGATTGTGCCACTGCACTCCAGCCTCGGTGAGAGTGAGACTCCGTCTCAAACAAAACAAAACAAAACAAAACAAAACAAAAAGCATGCATTCACAGATTGCGGGTGGCTGGCTGGGGAAACGGCATCCTGAATGAAGGAGCTTGGACTTCACCTTGTAGGTCAGTGGATCTCAGCTGGGGTGGAAGCATCTTTCAGTATCTCTTCCCACCTCCCGTGTGTGAACCAGGCTAAGGTGGTGGGTGGAATGCCCTAGACAGGTTTTAAGCAGGGGAGCGATGTGGTCAGATCACTATTTTGGTGGAGTACTCTGGTTACCGTGTAGAGGACAGAAGGAAGAAAGCAGGTTGTGAGGAGGCTGTGGCAAAGCCCCACACGGGGGAGATGATGAGGTTGGTGGTGGTGGCCTGAGATGAAGGGAACCATGTCAGAAAACATGGGTGGTAGAAGGGCAGTGTTTGGTCGTGGACTGGATATGGAGTGAGGGATGGGGATGTTAAGTATGACTCCCCAGGTGCCCTGAGCCTCCATGATGGGAATATTTGAGATGAAGCTGGCTGGCCAGGAGGAAGGAAGGGGAGTGGCTGTGGGGAGGTTTAGCAATGCATTCAGTTTTGGAAGGGCTGAGCCCCAGCAGTGGGCCAGCAGACAGCCGACATAGAGCTGACATCAGGGCGCAATGCAGGGCGCCGAGGCATAGGGTCTTTATTGGCTGAAGGCCTCTTCCCTCTTCAGGGCAGTTCTGATTCGAGCAAGGCCTTCCTGCCCAAACCCGCCCTCCCTGCCGGGACTGCCAGAGCTGAGCCTCGCTTTTGTCAGCTGATGCCTTCCGAAGGAGTGTGAAGGCAGTGGCTTCCGCCTCCCACGTGGTACGTTTCTCATTATTAATTAACAAAGAAAGCAGGGATCAACACTGAGAAAACAGCC